TCACACGTTTTCGATATTTCGGCGCATGTTCCAGTACTCCTCTCTGTCTGACTGCAAGTATTTTGATGGGGTCAGACTGACCGTGTATCTGACATAGTATATGCTATGAACGTGTGATCTGAGATACCATAATATGCGTAGGACTGGGGAGGTGGAAGTCGTGACCCATTTCTGCGATGGAGTCCGTCGTACGCTTTGGACGTTCCGTTGCACGTTCAAAACATTTCGTTGCACGTTTTCGATGTTTCGTCGCACGTTGTAGTACCCCTTTCTCCAGTTGTACTCCAATCGCCGCGTAAAAATAATTTATGTATCATTACTCTGACCTTCGGCAGCTCGGTACCTCCATGATAAACTTGGCAATATGAAGTATTGTGCAATATCTCTTTCTATAGATCCAACTTGGAGCATTCGCAGTCGGATTTTTCTGGTGACGTCATCAACGAAAAAGGTATGTTCGAAAATGTTGAATATATTGGTGAAATGGCCCAAAACAACATCGATGTATACTGCATCATCTAGCATATTGCTCTTCTGAAACGTCCAGATATTGATGTTGAATATGGAGTGATTGTAGTAGAATATGTGTATTCTATTGATTATGTTGTATGTATATTAACTCATCAGAGCTCTATGTGCAGGTGTTGAAGCCGACCAGACAATAGTGCCCCATATCCAGAATGATTTGGATCCTGTATGACATAACCGATAAAATATAAAAATAGCCACTCCTATAATAGTGATCAGCTGATGGGGTCGTAGAGAATGTGAGGTTCAGACGTACATTTATGACGTTTCGATGCACATTTCTGATGTTTCAACGTAACTGTTTGACGTTCTGACACTCATTTTTTCATCGAACGTTCAATGCATTCGTCAGAAGCGTGAAAAACGTGACGTCTTGCCGCACGTTTTTGACGTCTTGATATACGCGTTAAACGATTTTGAACACGTTTTTCCATCGAACGTTGAATGTTTACGTCAGAAGCGTGGAGAACGTGACGTTTAGATGCACGATTTTTACGTTTTGACAGACGTTATAAATATATTTAAGATATTATTCGCAGCATGGTTTTCACGTATATTCGTTTATCATGATCGTTAATGTACACAATGTAACAAGAAGATTCTCAATAATTCTCTATTGGACATTTTATAATATTTCATTTTGTATTTCGACATATTTTGTAGAGGTGAGCTGCTGTTATAGGAAAATGTATCTTGTTATTTGGTTCCCTCTCCCGATCCGCAGGTAAATATCAGCTCGAGTTTGTAGAAGGAATTATTCGTCTCAGGTATATCTTTGGAGAGTGCTGATAGACGTCCATTGTTATTTCGCATCGGTCTCCACGATGATTGATTGCAATAAAGTCATTGACACAAACAATATACATACAATACGTTATTCGAAATGGTGGTCAGCACTATGAGACTCATCCGTGGCATTTTGTGGCTGACTGTGTCGTATTATTCTCCTGAAGATATTGTTATACTGATTTCAAATCCCAATATCATTCTCAGACAGAAATGAACAAGGTGATGGTGATGATGAAGGTGGAGGTGGCTGTGCATGTGTCAAACCATTTTTGAACATTGCATCCTTGTCTCACATAGATATACGCTTTCGGGTTGGTAAGTGTCGGTGAAATGTGAGTATTTGACATATCTGCCACCTATGAAACGTTTTTCCACACACCGTGTATGGTTTGTTTCTGTAATTCTCTATCGCTAAATGGCTTGAGGTTGTGACGTCATCCACCAGCTATTCTCCAGGACGAAGAATGTATTTTTTCTACACACAAATTGGGGGTATTGCAATTGTTATGAACATGCCTCATCAGCCACTTGCTGTTTTCCAGAACAAAAAATGCATTGTTTCAACGAAGGATGAAGATTTCAGCACAAAATGAATTTGTTCCCCGTCGGTCACGTCGGCCATCTACTAACTCTAAAATTGTTTCTACACAGGAAGTTGATTTTATCACAAGATAACGATGACGCAATCTCTCGGAACAAAGGAGGCGTTGTTATCAGCTGACTCCATAAACATGGAAATTGAATAACAGCTAGAGTAGGTTGAATACAGCAATTTCTTCACGGACAGATGTATCAGTTAAAGAACGGAAAATGGGATGACATAACTAAATGACATATTTTATAATAGCTAGTTCGAGTATATTAGCTCACAAACATTATCTCAATCCCATTATGATTGTCATGTCATTTTGACTCTCTTCGAGTATATTCATCAGTGGATATGTGTTCTCATTCCATCTAGGGTGACATTTCGTTGATATTTCTGCTCTTGACTCACTTGGGTATGATATACATGTCTCCTTGACTAAAACCGACTCGCACTCTTTCGTGCAGTCTATCAGCAAAAAACACTGGTTTCTGGTTCACTGCGTTCAACTTCTATCCACTTGGGTCATCCTCGGCTTAGTTCATTCGATTTTACCTCTTATATCAACTGACTATTGAGCAGATATCACTTCAGGGGTATCATTCATCGAGTTGAATGCAATTCTTTTCATTTTTCTCGAGCTCTGTTATTGATTCTGAATGCAAGCTCAGACTCATCCTGTTCTGTTTTCTGTGTAGTAATTTCATCTATTGATTCATCTATGTTGTCAATTGTTCGAGAGGCCCTGCATATATAATTATTCAAGGATTTTGTCGAATATTATATCTAAAACGATTTGTGGTATAAATCGATACATAGAATCAACTTCAATCTGTCAAGTTTATTCTTTCGGACCGTGTCCATTACGTGAATGGTCTAAACTTCCGATACATTGTCATGAACGTCAATCTGAGGACATACCGTATGTATTCTTTCGTGTTGTTTACACACTGTTGACCATTATTCCTATTGTCACTGCCTGTATATAATTTTCAGGAAACATATTCACTCCATTTATTATGGTTCCAGAAATGTCATTCATTGAGTCAGTTTGGCTCCTCCACCCATTATAAGTTAGTCATGTTATGTGTTAAATAATTATTTCGATATACGCTGTCAATGCAGAGTCATACTATGAATCTATTGTATGCCAAGTATTTCAATGATTATTTCAAACGTCACGTGTTTTGACATATTTACTCACGTATTGGACGAATTGAAAAAAAATGTTTTCTCATCGACTGAGCACACGTGAATTCGAATCGATTGCTATCGTTAACCATGCTCGAGTTGTTCAGATTGATTCTTTTTTGTCGATATCTCGCAGACTTTGAAAAATCCATTATAGTGACCCGAACAATGATGTTATTGAAAGAGAATCGAGTTTTCGTTTCATGGTTCACTTCATACTACATTTCTTCCGAAGGCATGTCCTTGTCGATGTTCTTGAGAATATAAATTGATATTGAGGATATTTTTGTCGATCACTTCATTCGATTCGTCGCAGGTCATCAGCAGCCATATTTCATCCAGATATCTCTGTTTATGGTACGTATCAGAGTCGGTTCTAGAGGTGTCTGATACATATCAGATGTTCGTTAACTACTATCCCACTTGAGTTCTTCCACCTGTTCTCCTGCTCCACCCTGTATATATTTTCCAACTCAATTTTTTTAAACCAACTGAATATGTAACGTACGTCAACGTTCTACTTGATGTGCCATACATACCTATATTCAATGTTACATTCGATTTCAAATCTCAGATCCCTTCTGTATATACTTTTTCATCAAACTTCCTGACTAGCTAATAGGTTGAAAGAATTGTGAATGGTTGTAGATCGAGACCTAGTTAGATTTTCTTCGCGCGCCCAATGTGAAAATTGTGTAGTTAATTTCGATATAAGAATGGCATTATTCGGATAGTGGAAGAACTGCTGCTGGACTAAGCATTTAATATCAATATAATAATAGCATGGTACAAAGATACCTCACCATAACAATTTTCGTAATGATAATAATGATCTTCGATATAATACATCTCATATTCAATGATTCTCAATCCAATCTCTTGTTCTGACATCTCGCCATCCATATGACTATTCATAGAGGTATGGTAATGATATATATGGAATGCATAATATATTTTGAGAAACTTGAGACTTCGCATAGAGGTTTGTTCAATATAATATGCATTTTGCGTGTTTGGATGATTTTCAATATTTTTCAACGTCTTCGTGGCGTTTCTGTGACGTTTTTGTAACGTTTTTCCGACTCAGTTTTATCAATTATTCACCCTGCATATGTTTTCATATTTTTTATTTGTTCCGTGTAATATATCACCTTGTATATTGAAATTTTGATTTTTCCAATATCATCTGTAATCTGTCATACGTCATCTGCCTCACGTATGTTATATCTGATCGTTTGCTTCCGTATAATTTTTGAACACCGTGAGTATCATCAAAAAAGTACGATATCTTAAAAATGGAATTGGGGTCTTTGATTGGTCGGCTGAGTCACGTTCTTCAACGCCGAAGGTAGAGAAGTGGCGGTTGTTCACCTTCAGGTTTCTTTAGCAATCCGTTCTGTACATGTTTCCAAAACAAAAAAGCGTTTGCTTCCTGTGAGGTCCAAAGCACCGGTTGTATCACCGAAGGTATTCGTTATCTCTCAAACGCCATCTATGATACCTCATTTGTCATATGTCATGTATGATCAGAGCGATATGACTAATGGATAAAAACTGAGTCTCGGTTTGGTGGGCTTAGTAGTGATAGGTGCACTTTCACCACTTACATCAAATAGGTTATGGAGGTGCTCCCACATAATCAGTATAGAAACTCACACGAATTTTACATGAATTATAGGCTTGCACGAATCAGGATTGGAATAATGAATGTTTAGGAAACAGACTATGTACAAACATTTTCATCACTTGAGCAGAACTTGCATCGACGTATTAAACATTCTGTATATTGTCCATGGCAGCACATGTTTCTTTCATGAAATTCAACTTTCTAACACTTTTACCTGATTAGTATTCTTGATAATCATATTATGGTTGAAACAATGATGATGCAAACTACTTATTTCAGGTACACTAGAAGACTTTTTTTCCGGGGATTCATACAAGATCTGGAAGAGGATGACATATATGAAGTCATCAAGACGTGCAAATCAAAAAACTGTGGAGACAGGTTGGAAATGGCTAACAAAATCGAAGAAAATAATCCTCGACAATCAACTTTCCGAATACTATGGAAATGTTATGGAATCAGATATTTTTTGTTGGGTTTTTTTCATTTGGCATGGAAACTGATCAGTAGGTTAGTGAAAATTAACAGTAAAAAAAATGTTTAGTTTTGATGGAAATGGGGTTTCATAGATGTTTCCTTTTAGGTGTCCTTCGAAATGAATAGACCTAGATTTAAGCATTGTTTTTATATCATTTTTTCCACCTATGTTCACAGTTGATTTTTTATACGTCTGCCAGAATGAGATGCAACTCACATTCAATATGATTCAGTATTTGTACATCGCTACCTCGGAGTACGATACCAGAACCATTGGCAAAGCGCTCAGTCGAGACGAATTTAGACTGACATCACCTTGGTATTATGCTGTTGAAATATTTCAAGCGATTTTCATAACTCGTCTAGAGTTCTGTTGATCAAAAAAACATTCATTTTTTGAAACAACCAATGTACACAAGTTCAATTGATGTGAACAGTGAAAATATTCAGCTGAGATAACCTTCATGAAAAATAGATCATGAAGGAGTTTATTGAGAATGCTGATTCGATTCCTGGAATCTATATCGCATCTTGTGGAAACGCATCAGGGTGATGGGTTGCGAAATTCATGATGCAGCCAGTTTATATTGGTTTTCAGGCCGATTATGAGGAAGATGACTTCAGATAGACTTTAAAAAAACGAGTTTGTGACTCCTCAGTTCTATATTCACGCTGTACAGAATGGCGATTGATGGAGTCTAAGTGATTCTTATTCTTAGAACTGACCAATTCCTATCTCTCAGAACAGCAAATTGTGACGTACTTTCGGAATTGAGTCTGAATATAGCTGATGATGAAAAATATAGCTAGCAGGCAGCTAGAAAATGGGAAATGAATGAAATACTGAAAAAAAAAGATAACTTGTCGTTTTTGAGAATCATATCATACAACATAGCAATGATCAACCAACTGCCAAAACAACGATCAACTGTCAACGTAACGAATAACTCAAGATCAAGAATCGACACAAGTTAAACTGGTCTACAAAAACAAATGTTATCACAAAATCTATCTTCAAGGGGAAACACATTACCTAGCAAGTTGAGCAAGTGTTCAGGCAGAGCAATCTTCAAGGAAGGAAGCCGTGTTGATGACAGTGTGTGTGTGTGTGTGTGTGTGTGTGTGTGTGTGTGTGTGTGTGTGTGTGTGTGTGTGTGTGTGTGTGTGTGTGTGTGTGTGTGTGTGTGTGTGTGTGTGTGTGTGTGTGTGTGTGTGTGTGTGTGTGTGTGTGTGTGTGTGTGTGTGTGTGTGTGTGTGTGTGTGTGTGTGTGTGTGTGTGTGTGTGTGTGTGTGTGTGTGTGTGTGTGTGTGTGTGTGTGTGTGTGTGTGTGTGTGTGTGTGTGTGTGTGTGTGTGTGTGTGTGTGTGTGTGTGTGTGTGTGTGTGTGTGTGTGTGTGTGTGTGTGTGTGTGTGTGTTTGTAAGACGGGGTTTACGAGGACAATAGCAAGTTCAAATACTAGGTAGCGAGGACATTTTGGCATGCGAGGACCGAAAAAATGTCCTCGCAGATATCTGTCCTCGCTATCGCCTTATTCAGCTTATTCCGATCATTTCTATACCTATATCATGAAAATTTGATGTGTCCTCGTAAGACGGATCCTCAACGGACGCCCAGTTCCGTCACACACCGATAGGTAGCGCATCGAAAAAACTATATACACAGAGTATCCACCATCTAGGCCTAATGCGAGGACAATCGATACACACTGTGTGTATAATGAACACCAATGGAATGCTCCAATTCAAAATTTGAATGAGGCTGACGGAAACTATACACAACACTCCTAGCGAGGGCACTGAATCCAGTAAAATACATAATATCCCGACAGTTGTTTTCAGTAATACGGTAGTTTAGCGGAATCGTTTTATAATTTGTGGTTTTGTACTAGGTAGCTCGAAGTATTAATTTGTTATCGTCTATATATTTCAAGAGCTAATGCTCAGTTTTCCTACCACATAACTTATAGTATCAAGATGGAATATGATGTGATGTCTAATAAATAATTTCATCTATTCATTACGGAATGTCCAAACGGAGGACTCATTAGTTTTCTTACTCATGAACCGAAAATAAACGTTCAGATATACCGGGTGACACAGACACATGGTATACTCCCATTTTCTCATTTGTTTTTCTAGCTATATTTCTGGAATTCGGAACATCGCATATGCTCTCTAGAGGACACTTTTACACATTTTCTCACCTTCTCACCTTCTCGTTTCCCAGGAAATGACTTCAACTTTCGATTCACAAACGAAACACCCTATATTTCATTTCATAATTGGTTAGAGATTATTATAACGGATTCTACGATACCAGGTTTGATTGGGTTATTTCAAATGACCACGAAGATATTTGAGTTCGGAGTTTCCATAATATGATCAATGGGTGTGACGGCGCAACATCGAAACTTCCATTTCTGTCACACACACGAAATATCTTGCAGAAAACATTTGCATAAGCTGCCTTCGTGTAGCAAGTCCTGAAATTATTAAGTGAACATGTGAAAAAGAGGGGGTATTCCGGAACAGTTATTCAACGTATGCTTTTTCACTCAATGCAATTGAATTATGTGGTGTGCATACATTAAATGATTTTTCCTAGTGAATACAAAAAGTGCATGTGCAAAAAATTTTCACAGCGCATGTGCACACCACGATTGTATGCAAAGTAGTTTATCGTGATACAAGTTACACTAAAAATAGGTCTGTGAAAAAGCATACGTTAAATAATAGTTCAACAATACCCCTTCTTTGTTACATGTTCACTCAATAATTTCAGGACTTCTTACACGAAGGCAGCGTATGCAATTATTTTTCTGCGGGATATTTTTTTCAAATTTCAACGAAGACCAATTTGCAAGCATTGAATAATCGTTCAGAATCATCAAAATCCAATGCCAATTCGAATTTGAGTGGTAATGACGCTGCATGCGAGCACACTTAGATACCTGTCTAGTACATTTTTTATCGCTTGGAGCGCACGAAAGGAAATCCCTATAATGTTCAAAGAACATCGTGCGTTCCTAGGGAGAATAGGAAAAGGAGGTAGGTATTGGAAGATGCATACATTGAAGAAACGTTGAACAAAATCTGTCATTACCGGCCAAACTATTAGGAAAATATCTGGTGAAGTTCACAACAAAGTGATAGAGTATCTCAAAATGATAAAATATACAACGTGTTCAATTCAAAATTTCTGAGTGGCAACTACTTCCTAGTAGAAGCGACAGCGCTACAGTGTTTGAAATATTTTTATATACAGGGTTAGTCACGAGCAACATGGCGGACTCTGACTAAATGGGAACATATTATGAAATTTCAGTACACCATCAGTTTCGTAGCGGGCTCTGAATTCTATATACGTTTCGAAAATATTCGGCATACCAAAGTTTCGGTTTTTCACGGAACATCCTGTATTTTATTGTATTTCGAGGTTCTACTTGAAGAGTTGATTTCATCGATCTATCACAACATAGCACACTCGCGGTTTAGCGGGCATGATGACGGAGATATAGGGGTGTGAAAAATATATATTTTTATTGTTTAGGAATTTTTTGTCTCGAAACTATTCATTATTGATCATAACGGCTTATATGACACACATCTTGACTTTTTATTCACTGTCTACTGACATTTAACTGAAGCAAATATAGAGTGATTCATAATTTAGATTTCTGAACTACCATACAAATGCAGGATGGTTTGCAATTTAGATTCCTGAACCACCAAACTAATGCAGGGTGGTATACATTTTTGTATACATTTTTGATTTGTGAACCACCCCGTATTTGTTCATAGTGTATGATGAATTGGTATTCATCGTACAGGTCGTGGAAAGAAATTCAGAATTGAGAAAACCCAATAACGTTTCTGTGATTAGAGGTATGTCAAAACAAATTTCCATCGTTCAAGTTTGAACCACTTGATTGGGTATAGAAGTATTGAAAAGGAATATTCTCAGAGATATTAGGAACATGAAGAAAATATTGAGAAATATACTGAGAATTCGTTTGTGTTCAGTAGATATAATTCAATGTTCATTGTGGCATATAGCCTGGAAAGTAGTTATTATCTGTTGAGTATACCGAGAAAGAATTTATATTTTTATCAGATAGATAATGCGAATTTTAATTCTTCTTGATATGTACCATTTTCCATTTTTTTATGTTCATAATTAATCTGATGAGAATATTCTTTTTCAACACCCTGTATTTGTTTTGATTAAATGTTATTATGTAGTAAATCAAAAGTGAAGATAGGAAGATACAAGCCATTTCGACCAATAATGAATAGTTTTAACACCAAAAATTCCTCTAAAGTTGAAAAACCTATATTTCATCATTCCCGCAAGACTCCAAGTGTGTGATAGATCGAGCTTCTTCAGAAACAAACTGAAAAGGAGTAAAATACATAGTGTTCCATGAGAGAAATCGCAACTTTGGTATTCCACACCCTTGCAGAGCACCCTGTACATTGGTGAATATTCTCAATACGTAATTTCCAGAACCCTTTACGAAACTGGAATGATGAAATTTCATTACGATGACAAAAACGGGAATATGACATGTTCCCGTTTCCCCGTCAGAGTCCATCTCGTACTCGTGATTCACTATGTATAGATCAAAACATCATTGATATTTCGGATTTTCTACATGATAACCCTTCTCGAATCTTATACCACTCGACATTTATTTTATTTTCTCCAAGCGGCAGGGAAAGTGGCTTTTTCCTGACACTTGACAGGCAGGAAAGGTGTACTTTCTCTGCCCAGACAGGAAAAGTTTGTTGCTATGCAACTTTCCAAGAATTGGTAATCAAAATCGACACTGACATTGGGTGAACACAAAATGATGGAGTTATCAATAAATGATAACACAAAATTGGTGTCATAACATTCGGA